AAAAAAAAAAAAAAAAAAAAAAAACAAAACAAAAAAAAACAAAAACAAGATGAGTATGGCACATACTTGTAATCCCGGAACTAGAGGGGCAGAATTGGGTAAATTTCTTGTTAGCCAGCCAGCCAGTCTACTTGGCAAGTTCCAGGCCAGTGAGAGACCCTGTCTCAAAAAAGAAAAAAACATGATGGATAGGACCTGAGGAAAAACATCCAAGATTGACTTTTAATCTCCACTTATATGTGTACACACATGCACATGCTAACCTGCATTCACAAACATGTAATACACACACACACACACACACACACACACACACACACACACACGGCACTTCACTCTTTTGGCCTACCGCTTTCTATTCCATTACCATGATGGGACCAGCTGAGTGGTGGTGACTCCAGAAGGCTCTAGATTCCTATGGAGATCCTGATTTGGTAGATCTCATATGGAGTTCAATCTCCTTGGCTAATTCTGAGGCTTCTGCTTGCTTAAAGCACTGTCATAGAATGTCTGGCCTTGAAGAAACTCATAGCCTGTAGCCCTTAGTATAGGAACTTCCTACTATAATAAAACCATGTTTTAGTGTCTTCTGGGATTGGTTAGAGTAGCTGTCATAGTCAGGGTTTCTATTGCTGTAAAGAGACACCATGACTATGGCAACTCTTAATTGGGCTGGCTTACAGTTTCAGAGGTTTAGTCCATTATCATCATGGTGGGACATGGTGTTGTACTGGGAGACATGATGCTAGAGAAGGAGCTGAGAGTGGAGAAGGAGCAACATGCAGGCAACAGAAAGTGGTCTGGCACACTGAGCATGGCTTGAGCATATATGAGACCTCATAGCCCGTGCCCACAGTGACACACTTCCTCCAACAAGTCCACACCTACTCCAACAAAGCCACACCTCAGAGTAGTGCCACTCCCTATGAGCTTTTGGGGGCCAACTACATTCAAACTACCACACTATCCATTCTTATCAACTAGGTCTTAAGAAACAAGCCATATTAAGTTGACTTTTCTAAGAGACACCCACCCACATGCTGCTAGTAACTGTCGGTTAGCTGTTACTGCGTAACAAATGACCCCCAAACTTGACAGCTTATGGTAACACACATTTACTGTCTCACAGTTTGTCTGGGCCCAGCCCTCTCTGTCTGGAGTCTTATTAGGCTATGGTGGAGGTGTTAGCTGGAGTTTCCATAGGCTCAGTCATCATGCCGTCAGTTGCATGGGCTCACGTAGCTCTCAGTGGTGGGTTTTGGCCCTGCCTCTCCCTCCAATATAGCAGCTCACTCTGCAGCAAACTGGAAGTAGGGGTGGGGAGGTGAGATACCAGCAAGATGGGAATCCTGTCCCTCTGCAACCAAATCACTCAAGCCTCCCCCCATCATTTCTTCCCCATTGCACTTGATAGAAGCAGTCACCAGGTACAGCCCCTACTCAAGGGGAGGCCAATCAGGAGAGTGAAGGACAAGAGGTGATCAGATCCACTCAAATCCACCTACCCCAGTGATTGTTGGAGCCTAAGGAGGTAGTATCCATTCTCCCTCGTCAAGGAAACCCTTTGATGATGGGATGTTATCAAGCTCCTTATATAGTCTGCTTCTGCAGACTGCTGTAGCCTTGGAAACTTGAGAGTTGGCATGCCCAGACTAGATGTCTCTTCTGGAGGTTGAATTTGTGTATGCAATCGTATCACCTGCTCTAGTTAGGACTAGGCTCTATTCTGGGCCGAAGAAGAGGGAGTAGAGAATTGAAGCTGTTCCATTTATAGAAGATGTGCTGAGGCTCCTTAAGCTATGTGCCCATATGGCTTAAAGCAGCTTTGCAGAGAGGAAAGGCAGAAGGAAAGCTACCCGTAACCAGACCAGACCCCTAAGTAGGTGAGGCAGTCACTGTACTATGCTAACTAAACTAGAGCCTGGGGTTGTCCTTTGCCTACTTGTCACCCCTGTATTTGTGACTGTCTTTGAGTTCCCTGGTGGCAACAAAGTGTCTCTTGCTCTTCTTTAACCACAGTGCTGGGACAGGCACACCAAGTACTCAGTAGGCATTTTTGTAAGTAGAAGGTTGAGGAACCATTCCTTGTTCATGATAAAGTGAGTTTAAGTATGGATGACTACTGCCATACAATTACAGAGTGTTGGTGGGCTCGCATCTCTCTGCTAGCCAGAGGCCTTGGGGAGAGAAGCCCTGGTGGCAATTACTTACTTATGCTCTAGGGCCGCTTGCTCATCTTCTTTTTCTCATGGCAGAAAAAACGAGCACTTAGCTTTCTCCTGTCATCCCTCTTAACAGCAAAACAACTTGGAAATGGCAGTGAAGAGTCAGGTTGAAGGGTATGGAAAGAAACCTGCTAATGGAATACAGGCAGCTCTGCTGTGAACTGCATGCAGGGTATGTGCCTTAAGGCCCCATTAGTGGGAAATGGAGGCTAACCATTGATGATGCAGATAGGAATCACTCCACCTGTGTGTGGGGTAAGCTGAGGTGCTCTCCATTGTTCTCGGGCGGCTGCAGACAGACAGTTGCAATTTAAAAGTAAGCAGGGCAGCCATGGTGAGTGTCCATAAATTCAAAACAAGGCTGACATCTCAGAGGTGGCCATGGCCTACACATAACACAGCAGAGTGAATATGGCCAGGCAGCTGTGTGGATGTTATCACTGGGTTTGAATGGCAAACCCCAGTAGCCTGAAGTAGCTCACTTAGCAGGCAATCTGGAGCTATGACTGAAAATTTGTCAAATGATGTCATCCTATGAGAACAGGGAAGATCTCTGAGGATCTTGAGGTCTTGAAAGATTCAGACTCCAAACAGTGCTTGGAAAATACCTTCCCTGGAGCAGCCTGACCACACTTTCAGGTGAGGAGGCAGCAGAGGTCCCATCCCTCATGGTCATATCTGGTGAATGGAAGAATATGGGCTACTTTCAGAATTTATTAATAGGCTATGCATATTAAACAAAAATATATAAAGATACCTTATATGTGACTGGGTATTTATACCACTGGCCCTCCATAGCTACAAGCTCTGCATCTGTGAATCCAACCAAACACGGACTAAAGTCACATGGGAAGAAATGCATCTGTAATGAGCTGTGTGTGGGTTTTTTTTTTTCATCATTCCCTAAACCACATAGTATAAAAACCACTTTCATACCCTTTACATTATAATAGATGACTTAACTAACAAAAAAAACCAAAAAAACAAAAAAACACTGGTTTAACGTATGCAAGAGAATGTGCATAAGTTAGATGCAAATGTGGAGTAGGGAAAGAGTGCATCATAAGCATGTTTGTTGTGAAAGCATGAGGACCTGAGTTAAAATCACCAGAACCACATTAAAAAAAAAAAAAGTGGTCATCTGCAACTGTAACCCTAGCACTGTGGGTCTGTGGTAAAGACAGGAGTCTTTCTGGAGCCTTCTGGCTACCAGGACAGTTCAGGTTCAGTGTGAGACCTTTTTTCAAGGTAATAAGGCAGAGTGATAGAGCAGTATACCCAGTGCCCTCCTCTGGCCTCTGCACATGAATGGGTGTAAAAAACCTTCACATACGTGTGCACATGTATAATACATGTGCACACGCGTGCGCACGCGCGCGCGCGCGCACACACACACAAATGAAATAAATATAAGCACAGTCCCATTTTGTATGGTTAACTTTAGCATCCACACAGTAGGTGTCCACAGGGAAGAGGTATTGCTGGGACCCACTTCCTATTAAGGGACCACTATGCAGTCTCATGAAGTTAGAAAAAGGAGAAGCAGGTTTTTCAGACACTCTGGTGTCTCATTTAGAGTTGGGGGCAGAATAGTATTGAATGAATTGGAAAATGGGAGGTTTTAGGGTTGGGCTCTGCATGGATGGTGGAGCCTGGTGCTGCATTGAATCTGAGACTTCCTTTCCTGGCAGTTTGTTTCTCTTTGTGCTTTATAACTTCCCCCTGTGAGCTCATCTTCAGTGAGAGTTTTTCCTCTGGGCATCCTAGATACTCTGGTTATAGAGGCATGCCTTGGGGGAGGTTTAAGCTTGCCTCTGCTAGGATCCCATTGGGTTGCTTTGATTTCAAGCCAATTTATGAATTGATTTTTTTCTGTGAATGGTTTTCACACTGTGAGAAGGGAATCTGGAGCCCAGCTCTCTTGTTTGGTGCAATCTTAGATTTTGATCATTTATAGATTGCTTTTCTAGAAGTTGCTTTGGTCATGTCTCCTGGGTGTTGCCGTTCACCCAGCCACATGGATAGCCCATGTTTAGCCCCTGCTACCCATGAGGCTGTAGGTCTCCTGTCTGTCTCTGCCTGCACATAAAGCCCAGCATTAGTGATACAAATGTGTTTGATCCCTCTCCCCACCTCATTCACCACACACGCTTGCTCTAAATTCCCATGCATTTTTGGAACTTGGATGCACAGCTGTGGTTTCAAATTGTCTTATCCAATATTTATGTATGTATGTGGTCGGGGACTTCCTGTGTTGGCTCAGACCAGAATTCCTTAGTGCTGTAATTAGCTGTCACCACTGTCTTCCCCACTGGCTGGGGGAACCTTATCTTATTGCAGACACTCAATAAATTTCTATGAATGAGTGAGAGAATGCGTCTGTGATTCTTTAGCACCACTTCCTAATTACCTCCTGGCTAGTTATCAGACATTTGAGTTTCTAAAAGACAGCCAAGGCAGAAATTGAAGACAGAGAAGACAAATTTATAACAATAAAATCTTGTTATAATACACATAGATTTGGGGATCGTGCATATTTAGCTTCATAATGACAGAGTTTAATACTGAGCATGCTAACTGGAAAGAACTATCAGGGATGAACATTTTTAATGCTGCAGTGGAGCCCGGCCAGAGTGAATTTGTTCTCAGAAACTCAGGGGGATGGTGTTGGAAGGCTGGGGCAGGAGCCCTTGTATTTCATCAGCAAGCATCTCAGGCGTGTCTACTGGCATCTGACAAGATGAGCCCTAGCCTCTGGAGAGAAGCTAACCCTATGTCTGTGTGTCCTTTTAAATGACCCACAGAAGAATGCCCTGCTTCTCCCGTGCCACCCACTGAGCGTTCCTGCCCCAACCAACCGCTCCATCTTTTCAGCACCTGGGACAGCGTCTGGCATGCAGGCTTTGGGGGTGGGAGGACTAAGGGAGTTCCAGCAGCTGTGCAGATGTCCCCCACGTGGCAGGTGGAAGCCCGCTGGCCCCTGCCATGCAGAGCCAATCGTCTGAGCTCCCTCATGGGCTACAGTCTCTGGCAGCCCACCGCGGATTAGCCAACTCTGAAGCTCTGAGCGCTTTTCCATTTGCCGTGGAGTCGACTAATTTAATGAAGCCGTCACAGTGCAAACCTCGGGGCTTATTGGAAAAGGACTCGAGCACGACATTATTTCACAGCAGTAGATTGCATCATTTTCATTTCACAGCTTTCCAATGGGAAATAATAAAACAAAATTACAAACATAATGAAGAAAGAAAGAAGGAGAGAAAAATCCATGAGTGAGAGGAGTGCCCTCTATTCCGCGATGGGGCCGCTTCGCTCATTCACTCGGGCCAGTAAATATCACCTGGTTTCACACTGCAGGGAAGAATATCCCGGGATGCCTGCACCTGCTGCTGGAGATAAGAAGCTATAATAACTCACTGTCCAGGAACACCGAGAAGCCCTGCGCACTCCTTATAGGTACCCCCTCCTGAGAAATCCCAGCTTCTAAGAGCAAAGCCCTCCCCGGGGCTAGTCGAGACACCCAGGTAAAGGGTTGCCGCTGGTAGGGCAGGGTGAATTCATGGGGTATGGGTATGCACGGCACCACCACCTCCCAGAAGACAAAGCTATTTCGCCAGTGATGCTTTACCTGTCCTAGATGGAAGAAGTAGGTCCCTGCCCTCATCCATCCTGCAGGATGCTTTCATTGTGACCACAGGTGATCTGACAGCCAGAGGCTAAATGGCAGTCAGCAGAGGGACGACGCTCTTTCCAAAAGCTGTTCTCATTAATTGCACTGAGGTGTACAGATGCAGGGAGGCCACTGAGCTCTGCCAGGCCTTTTATTCTCCTCTGAGTGCCTGCCCTTCAGCCAAGGAGATGCTCCTGGGCTGTCCCCCAGCTTGGAGACTAGACTTCTCCATTGCAGTCAGACCCCGGATCCCTCCTCCAACCACCGCCACCACCGCCGCCGCCGCCGCCGCCGCCGCCGCCGCCGCCACTGCCGCCGCCTCTTACTGAAAATAAAATCATACTTCAAGAGTGGGGGTTGGGAGGTGGAACCATCTGGAATGACTTTCTTTTACCCAGGAGTCCCCTTCAAGGCTGCCACTGACTCCCTCCTCCCCTCCTCATCTTGCAGGAAGTCTCTCTGGTTGTTAGCTCCTCCCATCTGAGTGGCATCCCAATGTCTCCCATCTCGACTCTCACACTAGCATCTCCACTTTCGTGTCGGTCAATGTGCATCTCTAAAGCACAGGGGTCAAAGGCCAGCACCCTCTCAGTCCTCATGTGGACTGAGAACACATGACTTCAGTTTCTCTGATCTCAGCTATCTCCTCTGCACCAGGGTCAAGGTCATAGCTGCCTCCTAATTCCATTTTGGCATTAGATACAGTGATTCATATAAAGTTCTCAGCACAGAGCTAGGTACACAGTAGGTCCTGCACTTCATTAGGTCATCATGGCAGTTCACTACAGCAGAGGGTAGGGTCTGTAGTTTTTGAGCGCTGATCTCTTTCGTCTTCTTGGGATGCCGTGTCAAAAAAGTGAATGGTTACAACCACGTACATTTATTTCCCATAGTGCTGAAAGCTGAGGAGTCCACAGCCAAGGTACCAGCAAATGTGGTGTCAGGTGAGGTCCATTCTCTGGTTTATGGACAATAGCTATGTGTAGTCTTCCTTAGTAAAGAGCTCTCTGGAGTCCCTGTTATATGGGTACTAACTCCACTCATGAAGGCTCCGCACTCATGACCCAGTCACATCCCAAAGGCCCCATCCCAATATCCTCATACTGAGGGTTGGGATTTCATCACCTGAGTCTGGAGTATACATACGCATTGAGAACTTTCTATCCCTCCATCCTCAGTGGCCTCTTAAATATCAGGCTATGGCCAGAGAATCCCCTGTAGGATTTCACAAGGCATAGGGTCAAGAAGAAGGTTTTAACCCAGTAAGGCAGAAAACAGAAAAGAACAATGAAGTCCTGTGAGGAAAACATGTCTCCACTCAGTTTTTTTGTTGCACGGGGTCTCTGCCATTTCTCTGTCTGGTAAGTCTTTATCCTTCTTGTCCCTTCCCTGCCTGTACACATGAATCAGGACTCTGTCTTGTCTGTGCTGAGCCCTGAGAGGAGGTGATATGAGGTGGTACATGGTATTGATGGGTGTTACAGGAGAAGAGGATGAAAATGGACTCAGAACCCATGTCATGAGTTCAAGGCCAGCCTGCACTGCAGAGTCATTCCCATCCTAAAGAAACTTCTGGTCTACCTTGTGAATCCAACTCCCATGCCTTAATTCTGCCTCTCTCTGCTCCTCTCCTGCCTGAAGAGGATTGCACCCGCATAATTGTCAATTTGGAGAAGCCCCCACCAGGTATGTTCAAACCACAGCCCAAGGACTGCCTGTGGCCCAGGATCCTGGTCAGTGTAGCCCAAGATAAAACTGCAAAGTTAGTTAAAATGTTATAGGATTGGGAGTGGTAGTGCTAATAACCTGGTTGTGTGGATCTCAAAGTTGAGTGATGTCGGACACCTGCTTTGGCAGAGGAGTTCAGGTCCTAAAAAGGAGGTGTGGAGTCAGCTGGGGGTAGAGAAGGAGGAGACATGATCTGAGAGTGAATCTGGGATGCCTGCTAGTAGGGTTTAATTGAAAAAATACTACACCTTTTATACTCTATAGCTGGACATAGGATTAAATGGGAGAGAAGGGGCATGTGAGCTGGGGTATGGCTTGAGGAATCTGCATTGACCTTGACAATAGGTACCAGTAATATGTAATAGAAGGGCCAAAAGTTCCTCTTGCTTGAGATAAGAACTGCATTATCAAGCAGGAACTTTCCTTAAGCCCCCAGGGAAGGGAGACCCTTATCCAAATGCCTGACCCTGGGGAAAGGACTTCTTCTGGGGAGCAGACACTAGACTACAGTTTCTTAATCTTACTATACGGGCCTGTTCCCCTCATAATGCTCTCAAAAGGGAAGGTCTTGATGTCTTACTCTTTTCCCACCATTCTGTACCATTTTGATTTCTTTGTATTCAGTAACTGAACTCTTGCCCTTAATGGCCTCAGGCTCTTAGATTTGAATTGCAGGCATTTCATCCTGGGGATCGGGTGTGTCTAGTAAATCTCTAACTTTCCTGTTCTTGGTGTATTTAGGAGGGCATAATGGATTTCCTGGTTCCACAGTGGCAGGGATTTTTTTTCCCAAAGAATTATTTTGTTTAGAGAGGCTACCATTGTACATATTTTTAACTCTTACCAAAGCCCACACAAAATTTCCCAAAGGGAAAGGCATTAATATTGAGAATCATTAAACATGAAAGTAAAAAGGTACTGGAGAAGTGTGGGCTGCAATGTTGAAATACTGGAACTTTGTCAAGCAGCAATGGTCGCCACGTGGTCCACACCAGAGTGAACTTTGTAATAACGTCATATTACAGTACCCAAACCAGACACTCCAACAGGTTAAAAGTTGCCATAATATAGTGTCCAGCTTGAGGAGTGTCCTAAGCAGCTCCCAATGTCCTAAGCTTCCACCAGCTTCCAGAAAGGGTCACGTGCATGGGGGCAGGTCTTACCAGACAGAGCACAAGCCCTGGACCCACTGGTGGTCTACAGAAAGTCCAGTCCTGAGCCAGGGAAGAATCAGAGCAGCTCATGCAGAATGCTGACCACAGAAGAGATTCAAAGAGCTCTAAGGCACAAAGCAAGAAAAGAAGTCACCAGAGGACCTCAAAGCGTATCTGTGATGTCACTAAGACAGAGAGTGGGTCTCGATCCATGTGGCAGGAACAGTGTAAGTACAGGCTCAGAGAAAGTGAAGCAGTGAGACATGGGGAAGAAAGGAGGTATGGCCAGACAGGCCACTTTGAATACCAGAACTCAGCCTGGTAAGAAGCTGGGAGCTCTTGAAGTTTCCCGAGCAAGGGAGTATTATTGACTAGAGCGTAAGAGCATTGACTCGGTAGAAGTAGCATGGCTTGAAGTGAGAGTCTGTGAAACTAGGATCTGGTCAAAGTTTCAGAAACTTCGTGAGTGTTGTTCAAATCTTAGAATGGTCTTATAATAAAAAACCCGGAGCCAGATATTGGGTGATATATTATGTACCCTAATAAAGCTTGCCTGAGGATCGGAGGACAGTGCCAGCCACTAGATTAGACACAGAGGCCAGACAGTGGTGGCACACACCCTTAATCCTATCACTTGGGAGGCAGAGATCTGTCTGGATCTCTGTGAGTTCAAGGCCACACTGGAAACAGAGCCATGCAGTGGTGGCACACACCTTTAATCCCAGCACAAGGAAGCACACAGGCCTTTAATCCCAGGAAGTGACATCAGGATGGAGAAAGGTATACAAGGTGTGAGTAAACAGGAACTGAGGCAATTCAGCTGAGACCCTCTCGGGTGAAGACTCAGAGGATTTCATAGGTGGTGGCTATGGCCTGTTCTGCTTCTCTTGACTTTCAGCTTTCACCCCAATATCTGGCTCTGTTTTTTTTTTTTTTTTTTTTTATGAAAAGACCATCTAAGATTCGAACGATACACGAGGCCAGAATTGCGTCAGTGTTCAAGTAGAAAGGAGATAATAGTTCTGAGAACCAGGGTGGTGAATTTGGCTGGAGAGGAGAGGAGGGAAGACCGAGTGAAGTGGGAGAATGGCTTTCACGTCACAAAGCTCTGGCAGAACAGATTGGGCGCGTGCCTTCATGGTGTCCACATCGATCTGTTCCACTGTGAAACCAGACTGGATTCTTTAATCACACAAACTAAGATGTGGCAGGCAGTGTGCTGTAGCCACAAACACAGCGCCTCTGTGCCCAGCGTTCTCTTAAGGGCAACGAAGACTCAGTGGCCGTGTGGCAAGAGCTCTTCTTCTCAGTTCCATCCTGGAGAGACCAGAGAGCCGGGAAGGCTAGGGCAAGTGACCCGAAGTCCAAAGAACGTGAAGTAGAAATGGGATCCGAACCCAAGAAGCCTTCTGCCCAGTTCTAGATCCACAGCCATGAGGCTCTGCTGCTCCTGTGAGGACTAAAATTATGAACACCTACATTCTCACCGGAAGGAAGACTCTACAAACGCAATTGAGGTCCCTTAGCAGGCTGACTTTTGAAATTGAATCGTTTGGCATCTTGGACACCTAGTTGGCCCCACTGACCCTCAGAGTTATTCCCTCGCCGTCCATTTGTTAGGGAGGATGCAGGGTTTAGAGAGTTGTTAAGATGTGCCCAGACTAGGCTGGTGTGCTCCAGTGTTCACCATTTCATTTCATGCAAACAGCATCCCTAGGGGATAAACATTAGCATCACAATTTTACAGACGAGGAACTTGAGTCTCTCGGAGAAGTAAAATAACTGATGGGGTTGCCCAAGTGATAAATAGCACAGCAGGCACCTTGTCTCAGTGACCAGGCCTCCAAAGTGCATGGCAGCTTAGCACACACACACACCCCACAAATATATATGCAGATCAGTCGGCAATAAATATTTACTAGGTCCCCGTTATCTGACAGCATTATGCCAGGACTTGGCCACCAGTCCTTGCCTTCAAGGACAGTAAGCACAGGAGAGAAACAAGTTTCATTTGAAAGCAGGGGTGGGTGTGGGTGTGGGGGACACTTGGTAGTATCTCAGCTACACCAGAGCTTGCTTGGGAACAGGGAATACAGAGCAGGGAAGAGGACAGCTGGGCTGAGAATGGAGTGGCTGTACCACGAGGATGATGGGAAGTCAGGAAGAAAGAGCACTATTCTACATGGAGGAGCCCATGTGTGGTTCTCCAGGCTATTCTGGCCCTCTGCTTTAGTCCCGACTAAATCCCTGAGACACCCTCTTTAGGAACTAAGGACTTTTGAGGTCATGGAAGAACACGATACCAAGCAGACTGAGCTCTGCTCCAGGATCTACTTGCCGGCTCCCAGCAGGAGAGGTGTAGGAAGCTGGGGACCTCTGCTGTGTCTGCATGGCACACTGTGTCCTGAAGCAGCACTCAAGCATCCTACACATGGCCTGTCTTAACCCTTTATTATTACCTATCTGTGTGTCTGTCTCCCCCTGGAAGTTGGGGTCCACACTGTACCTTGCAGGTATTGGCTCTCGTGGCATGCCACATGGGGTGCTTGTGCTACCCTAAGTGGATTGAGACAGCTTGTTCAGATGAAGGTGCTCTTAAATCTGCTCCCACATGTAATCAGACAGGCCAGGATCACTTCTCTGTCTCCAACAGACTCCTGAACGTAGCACAAAGAGCTCATAGTTATCCTCGGAGGCTGCCAAATAGCCTTAGGCTCTATAAATGGATACTCATGAATCTGTACAGCCCCCGAAACAGGTGATACAAACTCAACAAGACGGGTGAGCATCAGGAAGCCGCCTGGATGGAGCAGGGTCAGAAGGAAACTCCTGCTCTATGTGAGTCCCCACCCGCTCTAAGTAGAACTGACCACACCAGAGTGATGGATAGCGGGCCAGGAGTCCAGAGAGACGATCACTGACCATCCTTCCCACAGCTGGCTTTGGGACATCCAGACCAACTTGGCCCCACAGTGACAGGTGAGCAAGGTGAACCCAGGGAGAAGACACTTGTTCTAACCACAGCCATGGGAGCGCTTCCAATGCCAGGACAAGAAGCTACAATGTAGGGGGCATGAGTAGAAGAAGTCCCTGCACCTACTGAAGATGTTCCAGTATGAAGTTAGCCATCCCTGTGAAAGCAGGCCTGGCTCTCCCTGTACCCCCACCCCAAGATTCCATCTACTTTCAACTGCCCAACTTCATGTATTATCTTAAGTTTCTGTGTATCTATCTGTGATGAAAGAAAAGTCTAAAATAGTGATTATGGCTAGGACTCCTCAGAGTTTCATGAAGTCCACCCCAGATTCAGAGAAGGCCTAGTGCCCAAATTATAGCTGCTACCTGATCCCACTTTAAAACATTTTTAGGAATCATTCTTTGCTTGCTAAGATGAAATCAGTACCTAATGGATGTCTACCCCACATGCAAGAAGCCAGGTCCATTGAGGCTACAGTGGGAAGAAATCCCCAGGCTTGGCCTGTTCCCACCCTAGGAGGACAGTAGACTATCCTGATTTACAGGGCCAGGGAATGATGCTCAGGACAGTCCAGGAACTTGTTGGAGGTGAGGGAGTAGCAGGCAGGGCTGGAATCTACTCAGCTCTATACTCACAGCTCCCGCTCATTGCTTTTCTTCAACCAGATTTAACTTAGAAAATTAACCAAGGAAAACAAGAGTGGGTAGGCTCAGTGGGAAAGTGTTTGCTGTGCAAGCGTCAAGGACCCAAGTTCAAATCGCCAGCACCCATGTAAAAGGTGAGTCTAGTGGTATACATCTGCTACCTCAGAGTTCTGGTTGGGACTGGGAGGGGAGTGGGGGATGGGTAGAGACAAGCAGATCCTTGGAACTCATTGGCCAGTGAGTCTAGACAATTGATGAGCTCAGGGCTCAATGAAAGACCCTACCCCCAAAACACATAATGGAGAGTGGTAGAAGAATACACCTAATGCTGACCCCTGACCTCTACACGCACACACATACACACACGTATGTGCATATAACATACATGTAATAAACCTAATAAATAGATAAACATGAAAATAGTACATATAACCAAGAAACTTAACTTGTAACACACTTTTTAAAATCTCTTTTCCATTCATAAGAGGAAAAGCTGACATTCTAAGATGATAATGATTGGGCCAGTTTGATTGAAAAATCATGCATATTTAGCCCACTAAAAAGCTGTATCAGCTATTCTTATCTCTGGGAAGTTCAGATTTTTAATTTTATTTAGGCAATCATTGAAGTAATACTTACATATAGACATCTTTTATTCCACCCACATTCTCTCTCCCCAGAGACAACCATCTTTCAAACTTCTAGGTCTTTCCTCCGGCATTTACATCTATAATTTTAAAATTATGCTGCTATTTTTTAAAATATCTGTTTTAGACATTTTCTATTGGCTTCCTGCCATGGTAAACACGGACTTAGCTTTTTTCACACCACTGCCCACATTTCTCTCCTTTTATCCCTGTGACATGTTTATAAAATAATTTTTTAGCAAAATCAATAATCAGCTTTTGCATGCTGAACCAAACAGCAAATTATGATCAAACTTTTTTTTCTGTACAATCTTTTGTTTTTCCTGAACTTAATAATTGCCTTGGGTTTTTTTTTCTTTTTTTCTTTTTTTCTCTGGTATCTGAGATATTTTCCTCCAAATTCTTCAAAATGTCATAATATTCTTCATAGTGTGAAATAATCAACATTTCCTTTCTTCTTTCCTGTAAGAGACCCTACTCGGGGGCTTTCTATTAAAAGGCTCCCATGACATTACTTATATTCTCTTCTCTGGTCTCTGAATGTCAGTTTGAAAATTCTCACAGCCTACACCTCTGGCAGTTTTTCTAAACCAGTTTGTTGATTATTAGATAGTGTCTTTTCTCATGAACCCTTATGGCGTTCTCTAGCTTTCCTAGGATATGCTTGTTTGCTTTTCTGTCTTTCCAGTTGGAAGACATCCTCAAATTTCTTGCTGCCTCTGACCATCTGTATATATCTCAGAATGAGACACAAAAATAACAGAAATTTGGTGTGGTTGGGCAGGCATGCTGTCTGGTAAGCTAATCCTTTCCTTTGGGATGATCCTTGTAAGGGTAGCTATTTGTTCTTGTTCATTTTAGTTTGGTGGTCCTCAACCTGTAGGTCATGACCCCTTTCACAGGGGTTGCATATCAGATATCTTGCATATCAGATATTTACATTACGATTTACAACTAGAAAAATTGCAGTCGTGAAGTAGCAATGAAAATAATTTTATGGTTGGCGTCACTACAACACAAGGAACTAACTATTAGCGTGTCACAGCATTAGGAAGGTTGAGAATCAACGCTATAGTTTCTCTAGATAACAGTCAATCATTCCATCCTGGAGATTTACCTATGCTGGGCCTGTCTTTCTTGACAGAAGGCTGGAGAAGACAGCTAAGGCTGCCATGTGGCAGCGAGCAGGTCTCTTCTGAAACAGAAGAAACAAATGCACTTGATCAACCCATGCTCTTGACCCTGGTGCCCTCAAGGTGGCCCTCCCTAGTCTGCAGTCTCTCAGCTTAGCTTAGAGCCCCAGACTCCTGCTGTATTGTTGGAAACAGTGAAGTCACCAAGACCTGCAATTCTAGTCCTCACTGAGTTGCTCGAGCATGGTCCTTCTCTGGTGGGTCTGCTTGAAGGCCTGCAGGACACCTGGGGAAAGAATTGGGACCTTTGTGGCTCCATCTGTACATGACAATCTTCCTAAAGGGGCTTTAAAGAAATCACCATGGTTTGTTGGGTCCCAATGTGAGGGAGGTGTGCCCATCTTTTTAATTTTCCTTCACAGAGTGTTCATTTTTATTTTCAGGTGCACATGTCTCAATGACGCTCCTGTGTGGTAAGCCTTCATTGTGTTTCATGACCACTCCACTTGTGAGGCCTTGTTCAGTTAGTGAGGTACAGGAAAGCCAAGAATCTCTTCAGACTTCACTATCAGAATCTTGTAGCTGGGGCCTGAGAAGATGTATTTTGAGAAATTTCTTTAAGTAGTTCTGATGACCTGTTAGGCCTCCCATGCCTAATGTCTGACCCTGGGACTCTGCTATACTAAGCTATATGTCCACAGTATCATCTGCCTGTCCTTCGGGACTTCTACCACCCACTGCCCTTACTAGACAGAGCCCGAGCCCCAGACCTTACATTCTCCATCATTCCTACGCTATGGTTTCTTACCCTAACTTTTCTCTGTCTCTACTCGGGCCTCTCAATCTCAGGTGAGTTTTATGGACTTCTTGCTGCCTTTGCTGAGGCTCATGTCCTGATCCCTCATCTACCACCCACCCAAGTTCTGATCTTAATGCTACTCCTCTGGGAGGAGCAGTGTCCTTGCAGAAATGTATCCTGCAAATGGAATTCAAATCAAATCACACTGTGTCTCCCACCTCAGCATGGAGCTCAGAGACCTGCAGACTCCTCCCTCCAGGTAAAGCCTGACATTGAGGGCTTGTGGCCAGCAGAGGTGACTGGAAGGCACAATGGCCGTTACTAGGCTGCAAGCTTATTTCCTTCCATGCCCCTCTTTATCATTCCCCATGGCTTTCTGATACATTTGCTCAGAGACTAAAAATACCCAGAGCTCCGTGCAGCTCCGGATCCGAATTATTTTGTAAAACTTGTTAAGTGCTTTTAGAGTTAGGCAAGCAAGAAAATACTTGACTTTCGTTCTAATGAAAACTATTTTTAACACTTAAAATATATAAAACAACCATCCTTCTACATCTGCAGCTTCAGTATTTGCCAGCACACTACAGCACACAGCTCCTTAACCACACCGCAAATGAAAATATAGGTTCATAGAAAAGTTAAACTGCAGGAGATTACGTATTCATTGATAAGGATGTCCTCTGTAGGCACACTCCTAGAATCTAGAAACCCAAATTTAGACCAAGCCCAGTCATGTGCTAAATGACCCTCTCTGCCTCTCTGTCCACCTCTGGGAAAAAAATCAGATATTTCACCTGCCCTCTATGGGCTGTCTTGAGACTCCAATGAGGGGCAGAATGCAAGCTGTGCCGATCCATAGGCAGGCAAATACACCTTCCTCAACGAATGGAGAGTGAGGATGAGAGCAGCAGCAGGCCCTCCCAGGAGTGGCACCCCCAGGTTGTTGCGGGGAGACCAGCCTCCCACCTTGTCAAGTTGTAAAGAGTCTATCCAGCCTTCATCCCCGCAGCAACTGGAATATGAGCGGTTCTAAGTCCCATTATTCTGCACGGTATCGCCCTGCAGCCCTGAGATTCGGTTAAACACCGAAGCTCCTGAGTACATTTTAATTTCTAATCATTAGTTACAAGATTTTCTTGTTAATTCTGATTCAGCAGATTTTGCTGAGACAGCTCTATTTTTTTCCACCCTTTATTTTGGTCGCAATGCACAGAGCCTATTCAGACAGACAATAAATCCGGGTGGCTAACCTCCCTCCTGGGAGTGAGTCATCTGCAACTCAGAACAGGACAGAGCCACTGGGGTGGCAGCAGTGGGGGAGGGGGGCTTCTTCCCCCTGGGTTTCTTTACACGCGACTCTAGACCCAGGATACAAGCCTGCAGGTAATTACATCAAGCGATAACAAGATTCCCTCAGCATTGCAACATCAGGCAAATTAGGTGTGCGGGGCTGGGGGGTGGGGGCGGACTGGAGGGTGAGCTCAGGACCGTTCAGCAGAGCAGGAGGGCTCCTGCTGCCTGCCTCTTTTATTAGATCACAGATAGCACGCCACTGAATTTGCCGTAGATTTATGTAACCTGGGAGGCACCCACAGAATTTTGCAATCGGTGAGACTGCTTCAGGCCAGTGCACCTTCCTCCCCGCCCCTCTTCTGCCAAGCTGCTTGCTTGGGGCCATTGGCAGGAACAAGTTTATTGCTCTCCTTGGTCAGGGAGGCAGCCTCCCTCCCAGTTCTTGATGTAGGAGAATAATGAGCTATGCTAAACTGTCCTCCTGGCTATAATCTTTCCAAAGACTACTGGTATTCTTAGGGCATGGTTACTACAAGGGAATACTTAGAGAATATTACCATGTGCTAGCCACTCTTCCAAGCCCCCGCCCCCCTTTTTTTGTATATGAACTCACTTAATTGCCACAGCAACCCCACAAGGTGAATATAAATAATGACTTCCATTTTATAGAGGAGGAAACTGAGATACACAAAGGAGAAAGAATCCACTGCTGTCGCCCACGTAGTAAGCGGCAGAGCTGAGATTTGGCTCCCGGTTTTAGAGCCCACACCCTTAGCAATTGCACTCTGTTGATGGAACCTGATTTGTCACAAGATATGACAAGAGTGGCTGGGTACAGTAGCAGCAAACCTCCACCCCCAGAGGGAAGGGACTCGGGTTAGACCTATGATGGGAATAAAGGGAGAGCTGTAAGAACAAATTTAGCTAGTTGGCATAAAAGAAAGCCTGTCAAGTAAATTTCTCGATAGGGGAAGAAGCAGTCATCCAGACCAGAAACCTGGAGGCTAATAGAGTACAGACCAAGGTCACAGACAAATAGATTATGCAGGTCAAGGAACACTGGCCTTGGAGACGACTAATAGCAGGCAGTAGGTCCAGGGCTAGACCCCAGGCCGAGGCAGGCATTGTAGCAGGAGCCAAGTTCTCTATCTCACACCAGACACACACACACACACACACACACACACACACACACACACACACACACAAAATAAACTTCAAATGGTTCAATGAGGTTAAAAAAAAAAAAAAGCCAAAGCCGACAACTCTTAGAAGGAAGCAGGAATAAACCTTCATGGTCTCAGCTTTGTCAATGATTTTTTTTTTTTAAATATAACACCAAATGCCTGGATGGCCAAAGAAAACACTAGACAAATTGGATTTTCTCAAAATTAAAGATTTTATCCATAAAATGATATAAAGAAAAAAAAAGTAAAGGTACAAAGATGAAAAGTATTTGTAAGTCATGTATCTGATAACAGTTTAGAATCTAGAATATATAAAGAGCTTCTAAGACTCACCAACAAAAATGACAAACACTCCAATTTAAAAATAAGTTAGTGCCAGGCGGTGGTGGCACACGCCTTT